ATTGTTTGTTCACGTTGTTCGAGGATATTTGCAATGGGCTCCCAATTCAATCTATTTAAGATCTCTGTTGATCTTATGTCATACCCTGAGTTAGTGATAACACGTGCTGCTCTTTTTTGTAATTTACTTAATTTGTCAATGGGGGTGATATTTCCGTTGTGCCAAACTGTTGAGCAGTAAGTGAAATGTGGTAGGACTAGTGAATTGTACATTGTAATAAGGGCATTTTCTGTCAGAAAACTTTTTGCTCTTCTCAAAAGTGCAATGTTTTTTGAAATTTTTGCACATTGATTATCTATATGGTTATGCCAATTAAGTTGTTCGTCAAGAACCACTCCTAGGAATTTTTTTGTTAGAAACTCTCTTTATCATATGATCTCCTATTAATATGTCAGGATCTGAATTTATTTGATTAAGCCTTTGTCTCGAACCAATAGCCAATTATGAACACTGTTCAAGTCTGAGTTAATTTTTTGTTGAATGTCAGTTGCTAATTTTCCGTCACAGGATATATTGGTGTCATCTGCAAACATTGATGCTTTTGTAGACCTTAAGCAATTTGGTAAGTCATTGATGTAAAGTAAGAAAAGCAGTGGTCCTAGATTTGAACCCTGAGGGACTCCGCAAGTAATTGTAGCTCTATCTGATATTTCGTGATTAATTTTGCAAACTTGCTTTCTCCCTCTCAGATATGAAATAAACCATTGTAATGCTTTCCCTCGTACTCTGTAAAGCTCTAATTTTGAAATGAGTATGTTGTGGTCCACAGTGTCAAATGCTTTTTTGAGATCAAGAAACAGTAGACCATTAATAAGGCCCTGGTCCATATTTACAAGACATTGATTTACAGAATATAAGAGTGCAGTCTCTGTGGAGTGTTGAGTGCGAAATCCAGATTGATTTGTGGATACCATCTGGTGAAATTCTAAAAAATTATTTAGTTGCCTAGAGACCAGCTTTTCAAAAATTTTTGCTACTGCTGATGTTACTGAGATAGGTCTGTAATTATCGCAATCCATCTTGTCCCCTGATTTGTAAAGAGGGGTTACCTTAGTGTGTTTCAAATCGTCTGGAAAAACTCCGGTATCAATAGATAGATTAAAAATTTGACTTAAGGAGCCGATAATGGTCTCCCCGGCTGCTTTTAATAGTTTATTTGAAATTTTATCCAAACCTGTTGATTTCCCGGCTTTTGCTTTGAATATCTCGCATCTTAATTCATCCATTGTTATATTATTTAGCTCGAATACCTCAGTCACTGGTGTCACGTAGTTAAGAGGGTCGGTATTGTTGCAAGATAAATTCTCACTCAATTTTTCACCAATTGTAGAAAAATAATTGTTGAATGCTGTTGCAATATTTTTGTCACCAGTAACTATACTATCCCCAACTTTTAATTCGTTAATTAATGTGGACTTAGATTTTTTGTTCAATAGTAAATTGATTGTTCTCTATCCTTCCTTACTGTTCGTAGTACTTTCTAGCTTGTTCTTAAAGTATATAGCTTTAGTATCTTTAATAAGATTGTTAACACGATTTCTGCAATTCTTGTATAGTTCATGATATCTTGTCGAATTATGTTTAATTGCTTTTCTCTTTAGAAAATCTCTATGATAGCTCATATTCTTAATTTCGTTTGTCATCCAAGGGTTATATTCACTTTTTACCTTTCTTTTTAGTAATGGGGCATGAATGTCAGCAATTTCCAAAAATATGTCCTTCCATGTGTACCAGGCAGTATTTGCATCAGTGCAATTGTAAAACAAAGTTGAGTTAAGTGCTTGGTTAAGGTCTTGCTGGAAATTGGTAATGTTAAAGTGCTTGAATTGTCTCGTTTCTACTACTTTAGGTTTTGCTTTTGGAATACTAACCTTTCTGC